CTGTCTTTTTATTCAAATACACACACTTCGATGACTTGTTTTTGTCCGAGTAAGACTGAAAACAATACAATTAACCATTAACATAAGATCAAGATACTCATCTGACTTGTTTTCTTGATCAATTGCGGCATTTAATCCAGATATGTTAGTAAAAAAACTTCGATTTTCGGAAAAAAATAGCGCTCGACAAGAATCCTTTCTCGTCCGCCATTTTGAACTGACCGCCCGCGCTAAATTCAGCGGAAAACCACACTGCGCATCCTCAGTTAATATTTTGAATTAACCAATCACGCGTTTTTAAGCCGTGTCGATTATGCATATGTAATCCGTGAACTTGTCAAGCACTTTTAACACGAGCCCCAGGCTCTGGAGATTGGGCAAAGACTCCCTGTGTTATTGATATTAAATGTATTATTCTTATTCTTTATTCGTAAGTAAATAATATCACATTGTCGTCGAATAAAATAAGAAAAAAGAATTTTCTATTAAAAAATGAAGCCGCATTTTTATTCAATCAGAAAAGATCGAAGACGAATTGCACTTTATACCTATCATGTAATCATTATGCTACTGAAAGAAACAAACTTTTCAATCAAATAAACAACAATTATCATCAATTTTCTGAGCTTGACGACTCAAACAAAATAAAATTTATTTTTAATAGTATTGATCCATTCATCTGCAACTCTTTTGCATCTTTCGTATATTACTCTACAACAAAGAGAAATAATACAAATTAAGTCTTCATTGCAAATATTATTAAGTTAGATATTATATATAATATCTAGATTGTTACTGTTCTCGCACAGTTATTTTACCATAACTTTGTAAAATAATTACATTGACATAATTAGTCTATAAGTAATACCATGTAAATCTTGATAATACTTGAATAAATTGTATTGTATTGTATTGTATTCATTTAAATAGTAAGATGTAAACTTGAAGGCTTCAGAGCTCCAGACCATCCTTTACTTACCATCCACATTCAGTTGTGTATCTTATAGAACTGTTCGGGTCATCGTTGTACACAGTTATTCTGTAATACATCTCGTCAGTTTTCCTTGATAGATTACGAAGTGTAAAAGTAACATTCAAGACATTCAAATTCGCTTGAACATCTAAGTCCATGTCAGCACCTCGTTCGGCCAGCAGTATCTCTACACCAGACGGCTTTCTTCATATCATGTCGACGTCTCCTGGACCAGCAACAGTTGTAAGGCCCCTTGTGATCTTGACTGATAACCATGTCTTACCAGCACCAATACTAACACTCCAGTTGAGCTTTGCCGTTCCATCTTCCACAACATTTACTGTATCGTCCCAATGTAGCCAAGTGAATGTTCCAGCATCTAGAAAACAACCGAATGTGATCTTGATCCGTAACGTGTTGTTTGTTCTTGTTTAGTCATATTATTGCTCCAACAAACCTTATTTCCTTACCTGAAGAATGGAAGAGCAGTGTAGAAAAGAAGACTATTACCAGTGATTCCAT